TTTGGGCGGCGTTATGCAAATCTTCCCACACAGTGACGTAGACATGTGGGAGCGTGTTTAAACGAGGCGTTTTAGGAGGGCGTGGACGAGTCTTAACTTTCATAAAGAATATCTCTTTTGGTTTGAGACTTTAGTCTTTGCAACTTTAGGGATCTTATCTATTCACGAACAGCTTGTAACACTCCAAAGAGAAAGGAAAACTTGAAATCGCATCATATGACCCTTTTAAATAAAAATTCAAAAACCCATAAGAAATCCAAAAGAGAACCTAAAGTGAAGTATCCCGCTGAGTTGGCCCGCAAAGTGATGTAATGAACTGCTCTATAGAGCATACTTGAGCAGACCGACTAATTGTGACATATAAACCAGTCAGACAGTCTTGGTTTTGTACCGTGGAGCAATATCAATCTGGTTAATGTAGACACCAGCAGCACTGAAACCCCCAAATGCACTGGACAAAGTGAGAAATGTCACAGCCAGCACACCGCTACAACCCGTGAAGCCTACAGCAAGCAGGAAAACAGCAGGTAGAAACAGACCTATGGGACACAAAACATAAAAATATTAAAAACACAATTAAACTGCAATACTTTAGTGTCACGTTGTCCTTCAGAAATCATTCTAATATGCTGATTTGTTGCTCAAAAACATTTCTTCTTATTTTCAATCTTGAAGACAGTTTTTGCTTCTTAATATTTTTATTGAAACTGTGATACACTATAATTTAAAAGTCTGAGGAAAGTAAGACTGAAAAAATAAATAAATACTTTTATCCAGCCAGGGTGTATTAAATTAATTAAACGTGACAGTAAAGACATTTAGAATGTTACAAAAGTTTTATATTTTAAATAAATGCGTTTTTTTCCATCAAAGAATCCTGAAGTTATCACAGTTGCCACAAAAATATTAAGCGGCAGAATGGTTTTTAACATTGAAATGTTTCTTGAGCACCAAATCAGCATATTAGAATGATCTCTGAAAACTGGAGTAATGGCTAATGAAAAATTACATTTTAAAATTGTAATAATGTTTCAATACATTACAAAGTACAATATTTCTGTTGTTCTGATCAAGTAAATGCAGCCTTGATTTGCATAAGAGTGTTTTAAAAACATTTAAAATGTAACAATTCCAAATTTTTTGACCACTAGCATAACTATTCTATTTCCACACTTTATACATGCACTCTGTCATCATAAATATGTTATTTATAAGATATTTATTATTCATACCAATAAAAGTAAAGAGTTTTCGGACAGCTGTGACACTCAGGAGCTCCCTCTCCAGGAGGTTGTCTGCCAGCACACCTGAGCCCACTGAGAACAGCCAGCCAGCCAGATATGGCAGAGCGGAGAGGAACGAATTCTGATTGACAAAACGAAATCAAAATGGAGTGAGACACAGGATTTAAGCCAGGCTGATTTAATCTAAATATCCAAATTGCCTCACCTGTCGCAAATCAAAGTGGAGCACAGAGTCCATGTAGGTAGGAAGTGAGGTGAGGAGAGTGTAATAAGACCAGTTAGAGCACATCTGTGGGATGATTATGGCCCAAAGAGGCACAGAGAACAGCATAGATAATACAGGCACTGACCAACCATGTGGCGTCCCCTAAAAACAGAGAAAATATCAAATCAATATAAATGCCTGCAGATCTAAACCTCAGATTAATTATGCTGGAAATTCATGTTATTTGAGGATTCCTTTTAAATTCAATAACATATTCTAATACATATTCACATATAGTTAGTTATTTATTTTTAGCATGAATGATTTACTTGATGAATAAAGAAAGAGACCAACTGTAAACATCATCAAAAATTCAAATATAAAATTTGTTCATACCTGTGAACCTATTGAGTTAATTATGTAACATTTCTCTCTGTCACTAATTCTTGGGTGAGTTCGGGGTTCATCTGACACCAAGATAAACCAAAACACTGCCCAGAGGCACCCGACACTACCTGGTGGTAAAAACACTTTCATGTATAAGATAGTATGCTATTATATTACATTAAATATGAAGACAAGAGTAAGGACTGTTAAGTATGTTCATATATCATATATGACCCTAGACCACAAAACCAGTCATAAGTAGCACGGGTATATTTGTAGCAATAGCCAACAATACAGTGTATGAGTCAAAATTATCGATTTTTCTTTTATGCAAAAATCATTAGGATATTAAGTAAAGATCATGTTCCATGAAGATATTTTGTAAATTTCCTACCGTAAATATATCAAAACTTAATTTTTGATTAGTAATATGCATATTTTCCTCAATATTTAGATTATATTATATTAGATATATTTTTTTGCACCCTCAGATTCGGCCGAATATTGTCCTATCCTAAGAAACCATACATCAATGGAAAGCTTTTCTTTTCTTTTCAGCTTTCAGATGATGTATAAATCAATAAAAAAAACCCTGACCCTTATGACTGGTTTTGTCACATATATAAAACAATTACTTTCAAGCATTTTGCTTGAACTAGATGCTACACCAATAAATTTAGTTACATATAATGTTCAAAATTTTTGGGTCAGTAAGATTTTTTAAAAAGTGTTTGAAAGTCCCTTATGCTACCAAGGCTGCATTTATTTAATCAAAAATACAGTAAAACAGTAATATTGTGAAATATTCTTACAATTTATGAATTAAATTGTATAATATGTAAAAATATAAATTAATTTAAAAACATTGCTATTTTTCTTGCTATATTTTAAAATATAATGTATGCCAAAGCTGAATTTTCAGCAGCAATTACTCCAGTCTTCAGTGTCATATAATCCTTCAGAAATCATTCCAGTTTTTTCAAGAAACATTTCTTATTATTATCGATGTTAAAAAACAGTTGTGCTGCTTAATATGTTTGTGGATATAGTCCTATATTTTTTCAGGATTCTTTGATGAATAGAAAGTTCAAAAGAACAGCATTTATGTATTATAAATGTCACTTTTGATCAAGTTCTGAATACTTGCAGAATTAAACTATTACTTTCTTTCAAAACAAACAAACAAAAATCTTTTACTGACCCCAAACTATTATGTATATAAATGCATCCATAAGTTAAATGTCATTTTCCCTCACCGCAAGAGTAGAAGACCGCTGGCCACCCCAGACTATGGCAGATGAAGCCAGTGAGAGGAAGAGCCACAAAGGCACCAAAGCTGGAGCCTGCACCTGAGAACGTCATCAGACGAGCCCTCTCTAATGGAGGAGCCCAGCGGGCCCACATCGCCATCATGGCAGGAAAAGTCACACCCTAGACAAACAAAAAAAAGATACAGACTCAAATGCAAAGATTCTCTATTTGAGAATCATTGTGGAGCTTTTTTGGCTATTACAAACGTCCCCTAACCTCCCCAAATCCCTCAAGTGCACGCAAGGCAAACAGCCACTTGGCTCCAAGTTGTGCTGACAGTGGAGTGAGGAGAGTGAGGACGGCTGTTCCAAGCACACCACCACCAAGGAACAGGCTTCCTCCAAAGCGACCTGATAGGTAGCCACCCGGGATCTGAGTAAACAGGTATCCAAAAAAGAAAGCACTGAGCAGCATTCCCTGCATCTCGGGATTCCATGGGTATCTTGGAATCTAGGAAAAGAAAATGAAATAGAGAGAGATACGACAAGAACCAAGTATTATATTTTTTTTAAGTATTATAAGTTATAAAAATGCATGACATATGTGGAGATCCACCAGGTTCGGTGCATGAAATGCTGCACGCAGTTTATTCTTACCCCATCTGGCTGTTCTGAACTTTGGCTGTTGTTGTCAAGTGTATGGGTGGGTACTGGACACTCGTTTGATATATTGCTATTGGATGATGGCTGGTTATTGGTTCCATTAACCATAGCAACCATGGCAACACTGAGATTTACACGTAGACCATAGACCACAGCAAAGCCAAAGAACATCAAAGCAGCCAGATTGCATCGTACAGAGCAGCATTTGGGAGGCACTGTCACACATACAAACACATTCTGACATTTTAAACAGTTACATATATTTAAAACGATTATAGTCACTTAGCACACTACCATTCAAAAGTTTAAGGTGCACTAGATTTATTTTCTTTTTGAAAGAAATTAATACTCTTATTCAGCGAGGGCACATTAAATCCTGAAAAAATGTATCACATTTCCACAAAAATATTAAGCAGCACAACTGTTTCCAACATTGATAAAACAACAAAGTAATATCCAAAGAAAATAGAAATAGATTACACTTTAAAATATATTAAACTAGAAAACAGTTGTTTTAAATAGTAGTAATATTTTGCTGTATTTTGATCAAATAAATGCAGCATTGGTGAGTCGATTTGGTAAGAGATTTCTTTCAAAAACATTTTTTTTAAATCTTATCAACCCCAAACTTTTGAATGGTAGCATGTGTGACAAGACCTATTTAATGCACAAAACAAACCACCACATTTCATGCAGACTGCAGGAGGATCAAACTGCAGACCAACCTGTGATTTTTTCCACTTCCTTCTCTAGAAGTGGTGCAGTGTCGCTGTCCTGGTCGTCCGAGTTAATGGAGTAACCGTCTTTTAGTGCCGTGATTGCAAAGGTGCAAGTTTTGGACTGTACTTGATTTAGTTTAAGTATGACATCCACAAATCCTGAAACACAAACAAGACATTTCAGAAAATGCAATTCATCTCATTTGTGTTTTACAGAACAAATAACAAAGGTTAACGGAACAGATAAGCTGACATCCGCCACAACATCCAACATCTTTATGTCAGGAGCATCAGTGATACAGATGACATTCTTTGTCTCACCTGAATCCTGGAGAAAATAAAGATGCAATTCAGTTCTTTTACCCTTCAAGAGCTAGTTTTGGGTCCCTCTATTGTCTTTACTAGACTCAGCATATGAAATTAAATGTAAAAAAAGTTAGAAAAACATCAGTTCAATGTAAAAACGTGATACAAAGGTTTGTATTTTAATTTATATGTTACGTTATATACAAAAATAATGTTATTTATACAAATACAAAATTTGACGTGGTGCGATTTTTATTTATTCTTACCATTAACATGCTTCCTAAACAGATGTAAGATTCAGTCGCTGGATGCTTTAGAAAAAAGATGATTCGTTTTCGACCCCTCCATAGCCATACAAACCGGTAATTACTTCTATAAGTGCTAAATGTTTAATACACCGACACCGGCTTCACACTAATGTTGCATTTCAGCAAAGCCACAATTCCTGTTTTGTCTGATCTGTAGCTTGTTGATCACATGACATCTTAAGACTTCCTGCTCTGGGAAGCATCATAATCTAAACACTCTGGACCGACTGACTGTATGTGTCAGGTTTAATGCTATGACATAGAAGTCTAATATCTGCAGCCATAAACGCATTTGTTTGACGTAAGCGCTGTTTTCGTCTGTCATGTGATTGAATGAACAGAAAGTTATCACAGTAAGTACACCATGGCTGTAACTGAAAATATTTGTATATTTAAGCATTTATAAACAATTTATAGCAATTCCTAGCTTAGCAATATTAAGGCTCCCGGTTGTATAATTGCAAATGTTGTAAAGGGAAACGATTTCGAAGGCCATTGATGGCTAAGTTGCGATGAAACGCGTTCGTTATCTTCTTACTTTTGATCTGTTTGTGCACCATGGGAAAATAGTTGTGACATTTTAAAAAAGTGTGTCGCAGAAAGCCCACTCAGTTAATTGTGGGTGACAGCTTCTCTTATTCACTTCCTTAGTTCAGTGCTTTCTCTTCCTGTAAGTGTTTTCTGTTAACAGGGATGTAAATGTGTTCACATCTTCAGGCTCGTGTTCAAGTATGGGTTTATCCGCGGCTCTTCGCCTCATCGCTGTGTCTGGGTGTCTGTTGTTGCTGTGTGGCTCATCGTGGGGAAATAATGCCACAGTCCCTCTGGTGATATGGCACGGCATGGGTGAGACTCACATCCGCACTTGATCAAATAAATAACAGGCCTGAGTCATTAAATAATGTCAATCATTAGGGTAATATACACTTTTACTCTTATTACATAACTGATGATTGAAAACTGCTTATTATTTATAATATTAACATTCAATTGTCTCTCTGTAGTGCCATGACCTATGGAAACATGTTTACCATGGAAACATGTAACAGATAACATAAACACACCTACTGAGTTTACCATAAAGATAATTAGATAATTGCTAATCATTACTGTTATTTGTTCTTTTTTTTTTTTTGCAGGAGACAGTTGTTGCAATCCACTGAGCATGGGTGCAATAAAGAAGATGGTGGAAGAGGAAGTCCCAGGAATATATGTGCTTTCCCTGATGATCGGCAAGACTGTCGTACAGGTAAAGCAGGTCCACATCCTCCATTCTTCTCGTTCCTGTTGTTGTTTAAAATAAAAAGGTCTGATTTAGCTTCTGTTTTTTTTACAGGACACTGAAAATGGCTTCTTCATGGATGTTAATGAGCAGGTGTCTTTTGTATGTGATCAGCTGTCTCAGGACCCTAAACTGAAGGGAGGCTACAATGCCATGGGCTTCTCCCAGGGGTCACAGTTTCTGTAAGGGGTTATTTATTCAGACCAGTCCATGCAAGGGATTCTCAGAAGTCTTATCCATGTTGTTTTACCTTTCTATCTTGTTTAATGTTTGGTAAGACGGGCGGTTGCACAGCGCTGTCCAGATCCCCCAATGAAGAACCTCATCTCAGTCGGGGGGCAGCATCAAGGTAATATGTGCTCTGCTCACTCTTTGGTTGATGTACTTGCTAAAAATAGCAGTACATTTGTTCCTAAAAATGGTTAGCACCGTGGCACAACAACCCTGTTTTGATTTCACAAGTTATGTTGCTTCAGGAAATGCAACCATTTTGAATTATTGAGTAAAGATAGAATAACTTGGAAAAAAAGGATATAACATTTGCAGTCACATTACAGCATGTAAAATTATATATAAACTACCATTTGGTAAGATTTTTTAAATGATATTTAACACTACTGAAAATAATATTAGTTCATAAATCTTAATAAAAATGTTATCAATTAATAAAATAATTGTTTTTGTTGCTTTAGCTAAATCTTGAGTGACTAAAACCACATGATTCAAACATCTTTTTTAACATACTTTTTTGTCAGACGTGATTCTCTTCCTCTTTTTTTTTTTCACAGGAGTATTTGGTCTTCCACGGTGCCCTGGTGAAAGCTCTCATATCTGTGACTGGATTCGCAAGATGCTAAACTCAGGAGCCTACACCGATACAGTTCAAAAACAGTGCGTGCATGGCTGCTTTTGGCTTCTCAGCAGACCATTTCATGATTTCAGTAACGCATCTGAACATTCACTAGTCAAGCATATTGATTGTCATTTGATTTTTAGCTTGGTGCAGGCACAATACTGGCACGATCCCCTCAATGATGACTTGTATAAAAAGCACAGCCTCTTTCTTGCTGACATCAATCAGGAGCGGGTAAGCCACAGGATAAGGGAGAAATTATTATTAGAAATAGATGTATTTGTGCATGTGGTCTAAATGAATGTTATTTCTGTCAGGTGGTGAATGAGACCTACAAGAAAAATCTAATGTCTCTGAATAAGTTTGTCATGGTTAAGTTCCTGCAGGACACTATGGTTGATCCTGTGGATTCTGAGGTACATTAGCCTCTCTTTTATTGAATTAGAAGAGGACTGAACTATTAATAATTGAATTGTCTTTATCAGTGGTTTGGCTTCTATAAACCTGGTCAAGATAAAGAGCTGGAAACACTGCAGGAAAGTGCTATTTATACAGAGGTAAACTAAAGCGTCTTTATTATCCACATTTAACCCATTTATATATATATATATATATATATATATATATATATGAGCGAGAGATTTGTCTACCTTTATTTTGTTTGGTCAGGATCGCCTGGGTTTGGCAGAGATGGATTCTGCAGGGAAGCTTGTGTTCCTCGCCACTGATGGAGATCACCTGCAGTTCACCCGAGAGTGGTTTAATGACAATTTACTTCCCTACCTACGCTAAATACAGTAACAGGCTTATTCCTAATGAGGGAGTTTACACACACACACAGTCCAGTGTCTGCTGACTTTAGCATGCTCCTAACTACTGCCTTTGAGTCTTATACAATGTCTAATATACAGAAATGAAGCCAGACTTGCTTGTTTTATTGCACTGATCTGATTTTTATTTGATTGATTTAATCAGAAAAACATCCTTATTGTTACACTCCAAATTTTAATTTGTTCCAATTGTGTACTATTTTTCAGTTCATTTTTGTTAGAGAATAAAACTTTGAATCTTAAAAACCCTGTGGCCTATGTTGTATTTATTTATGAATCACGTAAAGAGTGTACCATTACACTAATTATTTAGAGACTAATATTAAAATGCATCAAACTTAAACATACTTTGCAAAACAAGTATTTGTAAACTGGTGCTATAGCTTGCGCCAGACAGCAAAGTTTCTGATAACAGGATATATTTTGTCCTATGTGTAGACAAGTATTTATGTTAGTATTTTTCATATTAATTTTTCATTTATTGTTAAAGTTTGGGGTCTTGATTTTTTGAAAGAAATCTCTTATGCTCACAAAGGCTGGATTTATTTGATCCAAACATACTTCACTATTTTTCTTTCCCATCACTTTTGAATAATGAAATGCATCCTTGGTGAATAAAACACAAACTATTGAACAGCTGTATGTTTTACAAATGCTCATTCTAGGTTCTGTTGTTTGTTTTAATTATGTTCTGCTCCACATCACCTTTCTAGAAATCTTAAACCATAAAATGCAAGATGCTGGACTCTTGCAACAAAATGTATTTGCCAATTATATGCAATAAAGCACATCAAAGACTCAGAAAAAAAGTGATGTTTTTTATTGAAACAGTTTTAATGATGTTTGTTCTCCAGTACTAATTCTCGGCCAAATAAAGACAAATGATACAAAAGAAATTCCATACTCATGGCCTATGGAAAGTAAAAGTATTAAGAAAAGTAAAGATTAAGAAGTTGGAATTAAAGCCTAAACTAGTTAAAGCATGTGATGAGAGCAAGAGGTGGACTCAGGTCATGTAAATCCAGTATCTGTACAGCAGATAGTCATCCGATATCAGACATGGACAGTACCATGAGCATCACAACGTTACGCTGTGTGTGTCCTTCTCTGCCTCCTCTCCAGTTTGTGCCAAGAACACTCAAGACATCAAAACGCATTCCACACCTTTCCGTCATGAACCATGGAATGTTCATTTATTTATATTACAGGGAATGTGCATGTGCTCTGGAATACAATATGAAATAAAGAGGGAAATGAGAACTCCTAAAGCAACTACTGTTTTTTTAAACATTGTTTCAGTGTCACGATTGGAAATATAACTGAATCCTGCAAGGCGCCAATTGGTCCTCTAAGATTTGACACAAACCTTCATTCTAATTATGCCTAGAAAAAAAAATTAATAAAGTTACAGTAAATGTCTGCATTGGTGATCTGTAGAGGGACATTTATGTGCTTCAGATCTGAATTGCATATGTCAAACAGAAAATGGAATGACCCCCCACCCCCCCAACACCTGCCCCCTGACCAGAAAATGCAAATGAAAAAAGAATCTAAATGACATCAAAAATAGAAAATCTGATTAAAATGACTTGCTTCCTCATGTTGGCCATTCACATGTTACTTTGCTTAGTATGGCTGCAAGACAACAACAAAACAAAACATGAAAACACCTCAACTGTTGGCAATCGATTTCAAGTGCTAATGTTTTAAATCAATGGAACAGAAGAGAAAGGAGCCCTGCCGCTGACTGAGCAAGTGCTTGCGGTAAGCAAGCGGTCATGTCATTAGCTGAAGGAAGATATGATTGCCGCTGCGATTGGCTGATAGGAGAGTGGACCTGGTTGGCATTCCATTCTACTTTGTAGTTTAAGCTTGTTGGTCAGTCAGGTAGGACACTGCAATGGGGGTGGTCTCGCACAGGCTGGTCCTTTATCCCGCAATTTCGGTTGCTGTGGTGACCAGCTTGCTACCGTCCCATACGGTTTTGAATTGTTCAGGGACTGGGATCTCAGTCTGGAATAAAACAGAAATAGAAAAGCAATTACTCCTATTCTTATAATCGTTATAATCATAGACGATTCACTCCATTACTTACATATTCTCCATCCTTGTTGGGCACCAGCACATTCATCTCTGAGCTCTTAGCGCTGACGATTTCACATGACAGAGAGTCCTTGCTCAGGTACACATGGCAGCCATCTGTCTTGTTGATGGAGATGGTTGGCACCTTACCCATAACCTGGAAATCAACAGAAGAATAATGACTCAGAAGATACAGATGCACAGAGTAATAAGAAAGAAAAAGTGCCAATATCAAGATATCTGGGAGTTTAAGAGAATTAAATATAAGACCTTTAATTCAAATTCATATTTTCGAGAAAACATCAGTGCGATCAGTTCCACTGTTTTAAACGGACTTCTTTATTTTTTACATTTTAAACCCATTTGTGATGAGTTTTATAATGTGATGAGGGTTTTTTTAACGAACAAATGCAGTCACAATCAGTTCTGTCTGACCACATGTGATCAGACCACCCAAGACTGACGTTAATAACTTAAAACATTCATTTGTATTCAATTAGTTCAGAAGAGAATAACATTTATTCATATGTATCAGTATGTTAATACATATTAATAAACAGCAATATTTACCTAAACATACAAAAATGTTGAAAAGAAAAATGTTGTAAGTGCATTTACATAAGTACTTTAAATTTATTTATTTAATACTTTTTACAACCATTTCTATGGAAGCTTGCTTTTGCCACAGTATAACAAAAAAACAACAAAAAAAACCGAGTAATTTTGACTTTTTATCTTGCAATTCTGAGTTTATATTTGGCAATTCTCAAAAGTCACCATTTGTTTTTTTATTCTGTGGTGGTGGGGGGGGAGGAGCGTAAAATTATGTAAACATGTAAATGCAAACTCCAAATTCAAAGAAATAAACTTAGAATTTTGAGATGTAAACTCTGAATTCTGAGAAAAATGGTATATAGTAATAGAGTTTACATCTCACAATTCTGAGGAAAATAAAAGTCAGAATAAGTTTTTATTTAATTTTATTGTGATGGAAACAAGCTTCCATTCAGGATCAAATTAAAATAAAAAAAGAGATCAAGACATTTTTAATGCTTAAATGATACTGCAGATACTCAACTACATCTATAATGAGAAGAGTACAAAGCACAAGCATACACACCTGGACCTTAACATCTTTGCAGTTGATCACCTCAACAATACCCACAACATCGTCAAAGACCAGACCCAATTTCTTACAGTTATCTGAAAAGACAACAAAACAAACTTATGTCTGAACTTTCTACCTATATAAAAACAAAGTGAAGACTGCAGGAACAAATGGTAGTGCATACATACCTAAAGTAATGGAGTTGATCTTCCCCTTCACCTGTAAAGTGCTGTTGTTGCACTTGAAGGTATAAACCACCTGCTTCAGTTCTGTGTCACTGATCACAAGGCCGTGGGCGCCTTCCTGATTTTCCTGTAGGGGGGAAAAAGCCCAAGAGAGAATCAGCATAAGAAGTTAAATGAACTGGCCAAACAGTGTCATGTCTTCACAAAAATTCCCCCGTCTGTTTAGTTCAATACTAAAACAGCAAAACTTTGCTTAGTATCTTTTCTACTGGCATGTAGAGGTGCATCTCAATAAATTAGAATGTTGTGGAAAAGTTCATTTATTTCAGTAATTCAACTCAAATTGTGAAACTCGTGTATTAAATAAATTCAATTAAACATATCTAAGATTGAGATGGAAAATACCTTTCAGAATGGTATTTTCAACAATAATTTCAGCTGCATACACAGACTATAACAGGCATACTGACTCACTCACCACTTTCCATTTCTTGCCGTCCAGCTCCAGCACTGGGGGCAGAGTGCGGGCCGGGCTGGCTGCTGCTGTGGGCCGAGCAGCGAAGGGTTTGGGCCCAGAAGGCAAAGGACCTCCTTGAGCTTTGAGCACAGGATTCTTGTGCGTCTTCTGGTTATCAGATACATGCTTCAGTCCTTAAAGAGAGTTAAAAGATATTATAGATAGGATACATTATAGATAGGATATCAAAGACAAGTCTTCAAAAAATTCCTGTGCCAGGGAACACACATACTGATAAACCTTATACCCTTTATTTTGCATTATTGCTATCAGCCTATTATTATTAATATTAGTATTATTATTGTTCTTTTAGGTTTGTAATCTTCATTTGTTGGATTTTTTCCTCTGAGTTCAGCCTTCTGTGTGGAACAACCACTGAGTTGGACAAACAAGAGACATTTGACTGTGTTTTTACTGACTACTTATAGATTGCTTGTGGGCTCAGTTCTTTTTATTGCCGTGTTTGTATGGGTGGGGATGGGATAAGCATATTGGGTACTTGTTGGTAACTTCATTGTGAGAGATAATAAAGTATTTGAAAAAATTAGTTACTTTGGATAAAAGTGTTTGCCAAATGCACAAATAAAATAATAAAACAATAATAAATAATCATTTATTACAGCTGTTACAATCAGGGTTAATTTAGTTAACTAAAACTGAAATTAAAACCATAATAAAAATTCTGTTACTTGAAATCGGACAAACATTAACTGAAAAAAA